TTTGCGAGCAAATCTCTCTTCCTTTGTTTTTTTACTGCCAACCAGCTCTGACTGCTGCCTATGGCTGACAGTGCCACAAAGACTTAGGGTGTCAAAGGCGAAGGTGATAAAATCAAGAAGAGACAATAAAATCGCTGAACCAAATAGATGCAAATGATGGCAGCAATCACGTCCGTGTAGGCTGGTAAGTGCCAGTAACATCAATACCATGTTTGTTTGGATAGGAGAGAAACACAGTCGACAGGAAATAAAAGAGAAAAAGATGTCCTCTTGTTAGACACACATGACAACCAAAAAAAGGAAAAGGTAACCTCCATCCGACTTCAATGAATCTTTATTACTATCTCCCTATATTAACAGCTTGCACGAACGGACATACAGACGAATGTATGTTTCAAAAGGAAAATGGAGTACCTCCAGAGAAATGTCGCTATCTGAATAAGCTTCAATGAGAGAGAACAGTTTAAACAATAGAAAAAATGGAGGTATGGATATTCTCATCAATTTGCAGCATATGGACGATGTATAGATAATCTGGGTCAGAGACCACATAGTACTACAGCCGATTTACAGGAGAAATACCAAGTTATTCAGGTTAAAGAAGAGAAAAATATTCGAAGGAATGTTATTCCAAGACTCTCATGGAGTAGAATAGCAGATTTATTGGGTAAGGGTCCTGCTGATCAGAGACACACACACAGAGAAAAAGAAGGATAACATTTGAACTTGAATAACCGGGTCAAACACATGCAAAAACTATTTCTTTCTCATAATTCATGATAAAAAGATAAGAGTGAAGACTTCAGATCCGTCGAGAATTATCATTGCAAAATCAGCAAAACTGAGAACATTAGGCAGACCCCAAATAGCATAAATGTTATTTGTCCAAGAGGTTATGCAGTGTTGGGAATATCTCAATTCCATCCTTTAATTGAAAAGAAGTTAAAAAGGAAAAGAACCAAGTAACGTATGGAGCAACTATTAGCTTATTTTGGTTATACCTGCATGCCACTGAGAATGCGCTCCAAACGGGCTGATGCAACTGGTTCATGTGAAGAAGAAAAAACTTCACCAGGATAGAATAAAACTCCATCACCAGGGGGAAGGCCACGACGAAATTTTATCTGCGTCACAAAATAGAAAATATAATTAGGTGAAATAATGCAAATAAACTAGTAGCATAAATTAGTAGCCATTTATCATTTGAAATTTTTAAGAACTTGAAACCACTGATTATTTGAGAGAGCCCACTTTTGTTTAATCTCAAACGAGGTACAAAATAAGATGTTTATCTTTAGTATGGAACAAGAATAGATTATAAGATATTATTTAGCAAATAGAAAAAAGAAGTGATTCATGCAAGGCCACTTCAATGTTCAGTTCTTTGACGTGTAATTCGAAGGTACTAGTTCATGACACTTCACAACATTGGGACTTTATACATAATTTGTTGCATCAGGATTGTCTAAGACTTGCAAGAAATTCTGTAAAATCATTAAATAATTAGCTGAACTAGACATATTAATTTTACAATCTTGTGCCATCTGGTCAAGTTCTTGAGAGGATTCCATGCTCTAGGCTCGATCACTCTTTGCCAGAAGTTATATGAAAATATCCATGAGTTGCATGAGAATATCACATCCACATGTCATGAATGAGAAAGTCTTCCTGTATGCATATCCACTCCATAAATATTCTTGATCGTTCATTTTGTAATTCCCTGAACCATCTAACTCTTTAAATGCAGGACTGTTGTTTTGATTTTGGTGGGTTCAAGGAATGATTTTCTAACCTCTCTTCCTAATTTTGGACTCATCTTTAATTGTCAAGTGACCAGAGAGCTGAATCCTTCCTATTGCAGTTGTACTTATAGCCTCAACATTATTAGAAAATCTGCAAGATGCAAAATATTACCTAAGCATCTTTTGATCCCAGGAAAAACATTGTGGAAAGTGTCCCACTCTATTGACCCTATTGGTGTACATTTATCTACTTGAACAATCAAGATATCAGACCCGCGTCATTTCTATCAGAAACTTGTGTGGACATGTTTTTTGTGTCACATTTTACACACTTGTTCCAAGCTACCAAATTCCTCACTTCTGGGATCATGTTCGCCCTTCAAGATGTTAATCGGCTGGAATAATGAAAAAGGCTAGCAATTATATATTGTTGACTTCTAAACAATTTTCAGTCTAATGGCAGCTAAAAACTCATCACCGTCACACCTGAGTACTAGGAAAGTTTTAGGTGGTGGCCAAAGGTGTTTTCTATTACCATGCAATTCCTTGAGATCGTTATACTTTTAATTGATCAGTAGCATAGTTTGAGCAACTAAGGAAAACAAAATGTTGCCAATTTGTTATCATGATGCCTTCAAATTGAAATAAATTATCAAAGGAGAAAAGACTGTTTTATGCAACTGTTTAGCAGGGAACCTAAAGCACCGTCTGCAGAAATCATTGGATCTAAAAGAAAGCAACTCAGTTTAAGTATTGAGCCTTTATCAAATCTCATAGAACAGAGTTAGTTGTTCCCAGAAGCAGATCAAGGATCCTGCTATCAGCTTTCCACCTCTCCCCTTCAGCACCCTAATGCTGATTAACTCCCATAATGACTTAGATGACTTGTTGACTGTCCAGAGCAATTCCTCCAGTTCCTAATCAAACCACTGATCATAGGTCTGATCTACACTTCAGGGCACCTTCGAGCTCATTTCTACTTGAACAACAAGCAAAGTTGTTGATCTAGTATTTTGATCACGCCCACAGGTTCCACCCACAGCATTAACACACTGACCTTTTTTTTAAATGGCCTAGAAGATAGGTGAACATCTCGACTCTTAAGCAAGAAACATTTTGACTCAAAAGAAAGGAAGCCTATTCTAATTAAATTGGGGGATTTTGTTAAAATAAAACTTTGATAAAGATTTTAAAGGTCCATATGCGCAACAAAAACTTTAAGACCAAATACTACCAAGCTGATCATACACTTCATACTATGCATGTTGAGATCTTGAAATAGGGCAGGCAATGGACCAGGCGCTAGCAAGCTTATGTGTGTGTATTGCAAAATGGGCAACCAGCTCTATGACATGTGAGGCCCCACATCGATGTGACTAGTAGGGGGCGCACATGCCATAGAACTGGCAGCTCATTTTACAAAATGTGTTGTAGTTCATACACAATATATATATATATATATATATATATATATATAGAGAGAGAGAGAGAGAGAGAGGAATAGCAAGCTTATATTAGATAAAGGGGCAGCAGTTTGAGATTAGATCAAGAGTAAATTGTCTGGAATAGTTACACCTAATTATATGAACAGGTTCCATAACAGCTTCGTTTCATAAGTATTTGTTCCTTTTACAGTCAACAACAACAGCATCATCATCAAAGCCTTCATCCCAAATGTATGGGGTCAGCTCGTGCATCCTATTCTTCCATTCCATTCTATTATGGTGTTCCTTTTACAGTCCCATCTTTCAAATTAAGACAAAAACAGGGGATGAAATGCAGACCAGAAGAAATCGGAGAAAACAACAAAAAGAAACTGGAAGATTTTGCATTAATAAGCACTAGCATATAAATGTATATTATCAAACAATACCTCGGAACTAGCAGCCATGGATTTCTCATAACAATTAGTGCCCCAATAGAGAAACCCTGTTCCACCTTCTTTCCAGACTCTCCACATCACTGCACGGTGCTGTGTACCACGCATCCCAAGATGCCAGTTTGGATGCGGATCAGAAGGTCCCATGCACACATAGGTCCACCATTCCTGTGAGGAACAACATAAATCAACTCAAAATATGGTTGTAACCAAGAACAAGTACTAACACGTGACTTCAGTTTGCTGGGAATTTATTTTAACCTAACCCTTCGATTTTATCCATGCCCCAGAGTCGAATGTCATCCTCGATAACTAATGTATCATCTTTCTTCTTTTCTACTGTTCTTAGTGTAGAAAAAGTATAGCATGCATTTATGAGTTATGGGAAGTCCCTTTTCTGCCAATGATTTTTTTTCTTTTTCTTTTTGGTCAGGAACATTTCACTAACTACTACGTTAGCGAGTAAACCTCAGGTAGTCAATTCCTTGTAAAATTTTATCGGATGTATTGTGGAGCCTTATTCTCTATAAACAACTCTGTTTTGGTGGAATAGGCATAGAAGTCAAGGACGTGCTGGTTACGATCGAGAGAGTTTAGAACTTTCCAAAACTGCAATGGAGAAATAATACCTAGATTTTTACAGGAAGATCTAACAGAATATGCAGGACTATAAGTAGAGGAAAACATACAGCATCAATGAGAATTTCTTGTCCACCCTGATCATAAACCATATCACACATACATGATCATAGTCTTAGACTATTCAAGCATGAATACTGTGCATAAGAATGAAACAAGGTCTCAAGATAGTTAAAATGCAGTTCAAGTATCAAACTTTACTCATTGGCATAATTCCTTGGAATAACTTTGTCATAATATTAGATATAGATGAGAAAAACTTTAGAATGATATTAGATATAGATGACAAAGCAGTGGCTCTATTCTCAATGCATTTCATAGTATACATCGTTTTACGGACAAGAGACATTGCATACACATTTCCTTTTTATTCCCTTTTCTGGTTAAAGCTAACTAGATTCCTCAAATACATATTAAGTATGATTACTAATTTCCAAAAGTTTTACAAAGTAAACTTCTCATAATTATGTACTTATGTTTTCTCTCTTGGATCACATGGATTATGCATGTGTCTTAACTAGTCGAGAGGTGAACTTTTTTTTGTTATGAACATCTTGATGTCCATCCCACTATCTAATCAGAAATGGCAAGAACTACAGGAATTTTTGTGGATATGTAGGCAGTAATCAATAAAAGTGAGTTATCCACAAAACGATGTGGAAACTAAACATCTGGAACCAAACGATGTGGAAACTAAACATCTGGAACCAAATTCTTAGGACTATGATGATGACTAAAGGCACCACAAGCTGGGCGAAGAAAGACAGTTTGACATGATCATATTGGACTCCGTAAATTTACAACCAAAGAGAAAAGTACAGAGGAAGATAGTACATGAATTGGAAGGAACTTATCTATCTCATTTTCTTAAGTTAAGAGCCTTATAAATTCAATTTGAAGCTAAACCATTTTGGTTCCTAGTGACGAAGGATACATGTGCTCTCATTTATCAGGCTGCGTCTCACTTAATATTACATTCCCTAGTATCTTTTTGGAATCCTTAGGCCAGTGTCACCTCGCTCCGCTACTCCGTACATATTACAAGACAAGCGCGCCTGAGGCTAGACCCCCTCTACAAGACAAAGAGCATGAGTGGAAAGGTTTCTTGAATTGTACAGTTATCTGGGATGATCATGAATGGGATGTTTTTTATCAAGTCACCTGAATTTTACGAGGAACTCTGATCCCCTCAGCATCCATGAAGAGTCATGCAAACTTGAGAATATCTCACACTTCTACATAGTTATAATATGTGCACAAAAATGCAAGAAAATCTAGAATAATTTTTTCCATTGGTAATATCTGCTATATCATTTTAAAAATCTACACTTGCTAGAAACTTTAAGAATCCTGCAGAGTAGTGCAAAATCAAATTTCCCATCAAGAGTCATGCAACCTCGAGATATCTGAAACTTCTACTACATAGTTACAACATGAGCACAAAAATGCAAGAAAATCTAAGTAACTTTCCCTTGGTATTTATCTGCTATATCATTTGACAAATCTACACTGACTAGAAACTTTGAGAATCTTGTGGAGTAGTGCAAGATCTAGTTTCCAATTGGCTCTTTTCATATTATTCATTCGCTAAACTTCAAGAGGGACGCTTTGCTATGCTCCTTGGGTTCTTTGCTTTGAAATGCAATCACATGCTCAGCCTTATAGGCTCCATTTTTTTATTATATAGGTCGCGATAAATCTCAAAAAATATTTATAATCTATAGTCTATACTATTGTTTAAAAGAATCCACTTGGTTTATGTGAGCTTCAGTTTTAGAATTTGAAAATACCCTCACACTGGACCACTTTCAAAAATCAATCTAAATGTCCTCATACTAGGAAAACCGGAAAAAAAATTTAAAAGCTAACTAAAGATCAATTCTACTCCTCTACCCTTCATGCTATGCACACATCACATGCACCGAGACACTAGTGCATATAAAAAGGAGGCTCAATGGCTTGGGATGGCAGGACGCAATTGTGACCTTTTAAGTGTTTTAACATATAACCATCACTGAGAAAAGAAGCAACTGCACTGCTGCACATCACAGTTAATAGTTTATCCTCTTCTATATAATCTTTGTGAATTCTTTTGCTACCTGATTCAATTTTTTTTAACGACTGCAAATGCCATTATATCAATAGATGTTCCAGCATTTGTTTTACAGCCTGTTTAAACCAGGCTATGACTGAATACTTTATTCTATTTGTATAAGACTTGTATACTTCCATAGCCAAATCCTTCCCATTCAAACTAAAAATCAAACGTTCGAATGGAAAAGCCACCTTGTACAAGTTAATCTGCATTAGTTTGAGTTCTTAAACCAAAATCAAATGAATTTAGTTTTTCTTCATTATATAAGGTAGCACAACACAATGGCCGAAAGCAATGATATAGATGGTTCTTCCGTACAAACTGTTAATCCAAATGCTTTAATGCTAAACATTCAATTTCCCAACCCAAATTAATATATATAAAGTTCTGTTGGGTTAAATATTTTAGACCACAAACCTGAATGACAAGCCATTCTCGCCATCCAATTTGTGCCAACTTGTTGCATATGCTATGGAAACAAAATACCACAAAAAAATGATCGTCTTTCAGGTACTCTCAATGATGAAGAAAAACTTTAATATGGTGGATGTTTTCATGAATGGCTTCAGGCTTGGATTTAAAAGGGAAAGGTTTGGGCTTAAATCCTCTAAGAAGTAGCTGCCTCCTTCCTTGTGTCTCCCTATCTCTAAGGTATGTTTGGCATTGCAAGTAATTTTGCACCTTCTAGATCATAAACATGCTCTCTTGACAAAACTAGATGTTTGATAACCAGTTCCCAAAAAGAGTTTTAAGAAAATAAGAAGTTAAATAGCAGTGATCCAGAGAAGTTAAATTTTCTGCCTTCTAAGCAAAAACTCATACATTTGCATTTTATTTTTCCCTCGTATTTTTTTAAGATTGATATCTCATAAAATGTCATCTAAAATAAAAAATTTAATTTATTCTCTCTATTTATATTGATTGCCTTATCTAACGCATTTCTCTCATTTATCAAATTTTACCTAAATTCCTTATGATAAGCCTTTCTTTTTCTCTCACTCATCAACTCCTATACAAACTCATAATAGATCTTTTACTTTATTAACAACGTTAATTGCGGTTAGACCCCCTGAAGTTCTACTTGTGCGAATAGACCCCTTCACTATTTGCCCACATGCAGATTGACCTACTAAGTGACTTTTTTACTCTTTAAAGAGTATAAGAAAATTTCATTCAGGGGTCTATAAAAAAATTTCGCTCAGGGGTCTATCCGCAATTGGGTTATACTACTTTGGGTCTATCGGCAATTAACCTTTATTAAAAATATTGATAATGATGCATGTATTCTTAATTAATTTTGATCCTAAAGTTTGTTATATACGATGCATTCGATTTTTTTTTAAACAAACTCTAATAGGACGTATGTTACCATTTCATTCAAGTGTAACTTAATAGTTTTTTCTGTTCATGACAGCAACTTCTGTCGATTTGGTCAAAAGATTGTTCATTGTTTATCGTCTTTTCTCTAAATATTGATCCAATATTCTTGAGAAATTAAAAATTCTCACTTGCTTATTGTAACACTCACACTTCAAGACTTTAACTCACAGAAAACACTTATATTGCATCCTATCATAGAGCTTCACAGATGCTGATGTTTCATGAAAGAAAATTATGATAGAATCAGGCAGGCGTATGCCAGTATATAAAGGAAAGATAATCCAGGAGAACACTATGCTCAATAATAAACTTTTCACTTTAAGCGACTCCCAGAAATCAAGTAATGTCTCAAATAATTAAAATGTTGAAATTTGATATGCAGTATAAAAATTTTTATGTTGGTTACTTGATTCAGCACAGATCTGCGAATATACTCCAGGCTCTCAAGTAGAGCAATATCAAATATAATAGCACTACTGTAACATATCAAACTTGGCATTATTTTAAAAAATGGTAGGCATCAAGTTGACAAGCTTGATTGAATTTTCACGGACCCTTGCTTCATATCCTACCCCATTCTTGTCGGGAGAGGAGTAGACGATGATAATATTTTGTTTCATACCTATAAAAATACACTAAAGCATATAGATCCAGAATCAAGATTAGTACAATCTTGAATTAATTTCAACATCCTAAGTACAACTTGCCAAATTCTCTAGTGGGAGCAATAAACTGAGCAATTATGACATTAGTTACTAGGGACAGCAGTGGGTATGGCAAACCCATTTACCCTAATTAAAGGAGAAGATTCTCTTACCCTTTTATCTGAATTTATAGCGTAAGAATAAGGGTTTCTTACCTCGTAGGGAAAAGGTATTGTACATGTATAATGCAGAGTAAGGTAGGAAGGCCTATTTGAGCATCTATACTTCAAAAAAAAAACCACAAGTTCTGACCCGGGTGTCTGATTTGAGGTGATCCAAGGTAATCCAGGAGTCTATGGAAAGCTATTTTCGAGATGCATGATGTGGAAAACAGGGTCTACCTATTTGAGGTTGTTTCGAACACAATCATTTATTTTAGACCGTTTCGGTGTTGCTTTCGTTATTGGATTTATCTTTTGAACTACTTTTTTCTTTTCTTTTTCTTTTTCTTTTTTTTTCTTTTTTTTTTTTTTTTGTTTTGAACTACTTTTTTCTTTTCTTTTTCTTTTTCTTTTTTTTTCTTTTTTTTTTTTTTTTGGTTTGCTTCTAACTTGGCCCAATCAATTTTAGTTATTCATGTTACTTAGACGTTTAGTGGTTTCAGATATTTACCTTTCACAACTTAGGATAGGATAGTTTTATCTTAAATTATCATCAAGCATAGGCTTCTTAGTAGGGGTGCCAAACGGTTCGGATATATCCGAACCGATCCGCATCCGTATCCGAACGGATACGGATATGGTAAGCTAATTTTGAAACCGGGCGGATACGGTAACGGATATGGTTTCGGATTTTTTTTCGGATACGGATTCGGAAACGGATATGAGGGTTGCGGATACGGATATCCGCATAATGATTCGGGTCCCAAAGTTACAATTACAAACCCGTAACCGCTAACCCAAACCCGTTAGTTTGTAAGTTGTAAGTTGTAACCCTAGCCTCCAGCCCATTCCTTCTTCCGCCTCCGCCCTCCATCCAGGCGCTGAAAAATAGTCGAGAAACCCCGCCCTCATCCCTTTCTCTCCCTGAATCGGTGGGAAAATGACAGCCCTTATCCTCTGCTCGCCCCTCTCGCTCTCCCGATTCCCTCTACTCACGAATCTCTTCCATCTCGCTAAATCCAAATCCCTCATTTCTTCGTCCTTTGCTCTCCCACGCCATCCATCCATCCTCTATTCTTCAAAATTACCCTCTCAGATCTCTATAGCCTTCAAATTTCGCTGCTGGTGCTTACACTTCTACGGCGCTGAATCGAGACGATCTCGTTGTTCTCGGAATCAGGACGAGCTGCGACGATACAGCTGCAGCGGTTGTAAGTGATTCTTCTTGCTTTTCTTTCCTCTCTATTTTTGCCTTTTTTTTAAATTTATTTTTTGGGCTTATTTTAGGTTAGAGGAAATGGAGAAGTTTTGGTCTTTTATCCTGAATTTTCAATTATTATTATTATTATTATTTGGATTGAAGGAGGATTTAGAATTAAAAGAGTGCTATCCTTCATCACCACTTCATCTCCAACATTGTTCTCTTGAAAATAGAAAATTTTCTCCCTTTGGCAAGGGAAATGTCGCTTATATACCTCTATTCTATTCTTTGCGTTTAAGAATCTTCTTGTTGTTATTAGATCTTTCTAGATTTGCACACTATAAAATCTCATAGTCTGTGGCAGTGTGGCTGCTGCTAGGACTTCCCTTGGGAAATATGAAGCCGGAGAAAGAAAATATTGCAATAAGAAATGATAAATAATGGAAATTTAACCATACTCCTTGAATCTCTAACTATATAATTATCCTCATAATTATCCTCCGGATTCTCGAAACGCATTCAATCAGTTACATTCTGAAATTAAAGTTGCTCTTTTAGCCATTTAATTGAATTGATGTGAGGATAGGTACCGGTGTAATGGATTATGTCCTGTATGTTCTTAGAGTTATTTGATTTGGTTTTGCAGAGTACACCTTCTCTTGTATTACAATACAGTATATTCTTATCTGATTTTGTAATCCAGTTGGTAAAATTGTCAGTCTCTTTGACTGTCAAACTTCTTGTTTACTTTTATTTATCTTCGTGCTCTCATCTGGTCAAGGCAGAATTGCTTTCCCGCTGTGGAGGTGTTGCTCCTAAAATGGCTGAAGAAGCACACTCGCTTGTTATTGATCAGGCATGACATTTGATTGACTACCCTCTTCTACCTTTTGTGTTCGTGTTCTAATGCCATAAGCATATGACTTCTGATTTACTTTGCAGGTTGTTCAACAAGCAATAGAAAATGCAAATTTGTCATAAAATGATCTTTCTGCTGTTGCAGTTACTATCGGTCCAGGTCTAAGCCTTTGTTTGCGGGGTAAGTATGCTATGTCCTATTGCTGTTATTGCAATTATTCTTATAAGTCTTCCCTATTTTATTTCTATTTCCCAGAAGTTGCGAGTGTTGTAATCACAAGATGGAAAATGAATGTCATAATGGATTCAACTGAGAAGTTGTAATTCTGATTAAGTACTTGCTGCTGAAGGTTTTGGATGAAGATAATGTCTAATAGATTTGTGCTCAATTTTAGTAATTCTAATTATATGTGAATTAAAGAGAAGCTTACAACCACATATATTTACCTATTTGGTTGTAATTCTAATTATACGTGAATATCCGTTTATATCCGTGATCATATCCGATCCGATTCTCAAATATCCGATCCGTATCCGTTTCCGATAAGTGCGGATATGGTTAATGATTTTTCTTACCGAGAATGATCCGTATCCGTATCCGTATCCGTTTATAAGAAGCGGATATGGATATGGTAAGTGTCATATCCGAACCGTATCCGCTCCGATAACACCCCTACTTCTTAGTGTAGTTCCTATTTGTTTACCATTATTCCTAAATCCACCTGGCAAGGCTCTGAAGTTTGGTTATTATGAATAATAACACAGTTTTTTTAATAAACAATGAAACATCATTAAAATAGTTTTTGAATACAGATTTCCATTTCCAACTGTCCACTTCAGACATAAGAAAGATCTATCAAATAAATTGCAATAAACATGCCCCAATAAGCAAAGTTGATTGCTGATTTTGTAAGCACTTCTATTAGCAATATCCAAAACTATAGAGGCAAACATAGTCGGAAGCAACATAACTCTAGTGCCAACTGTCAAGACTGAATAACAAGTAACAACCAACATACAGGAAGACAGGTTGATGAGTAAATTTACAGGACAGAAAAAAGATGCACTTACTAATTGCAGGAGGGCTTTGTTGAGGGCCCGACAAAGAATTTATGAATCAAACACGGAAAAATTGAGAACAAGTTCCTAAAATTAGTACCTCACTTACTAATTGCAGGAGGGCTTTGTTGAGGGCATCGACAAAGAATTTATGAATCAAACACGGAAAAATTGAGAACAAGTTCCTAAAATTAGTACCTCACCATTCTCTGATTGCAATTCATCAGTAATATCCTTCACTAAATCCTCCCGAGTGCCAAGAACCCACTCACTGCAAAAGTTTGTAAAATTGTTACATTGAGTTTAACAAGTACACAGGTAAGTGTCTGGTCTCAGTGTACTCATAAAGACTGCAGTTACGAGGCAAATATGATCAGAATAGCTTTTAGTGAGCATAGGAAAAACTGTAAAAAGCAAGCCACGTTCTATCAAACTTTAGTTTCTCAAGATCACAAATGTCTACTTTTATTTGCTTAGAGCTATCAAAAACAAGACTTCCTATTCAACCAATCAATATCCACAATGCAAGCATGGTTGGCAAAGCTTACAATGTAGGATCCCATGCGAACTCCACCTATAGAAACTTAACAAACTTATCTATGTTTGGGAGTTTACTAATGAAGGGGAAGGGAAATAAGGGAAGGGAAAACAATGTAAAGGAAAGGAAGGGGAGGGAAAATGTATTAATCATGTTTGGGAGCTATAGCAAAGGGAATGGAGGCGAATTATTTCCAAGCCGTCGGATTTGTATCATGATGGTCCACAACAATTCTCCTCCTCTACACTCCAATTTGGGGGTTCACCAAATTATATAGAATGGAGGTTAGGGGATGTAAACTTTGTTACTTCCCTTTCTCTCCATTCCCTTTCAAAAAATAAAAAACTCACAAACAAGGTTAATCCGTTTATCTTCCTTCCCTTACCCCTCATTCACCCCCATCCAAACAAAGGAAATAAATAGCTCCGACTCTAGAGTTAAGTGTGCAAATCCTGCTGACATATCATTATTGAATCTTGAACAACTATTTTATTTCTCTAACTGCAAGCAAATCATCATTATTGAATCACAATAACTGGAGCAAGCAATGATATTGTTCATTCTAGTTTCCTCTATTAATTATTAAGGGGCTTAAAGCATATTTATACTCTTAAAGTTTTAGCACATTTCCCCTTCCCTGTTGATATTTTGCTAGATGACCTTGTCTTAGATTATCCGGTCCAAATGTCCTTGATTCAGTTAGTAATGTACATTTATACAGCTGTTTGATTTGAGGAAACTGCATTGCAACTGCAACTTATAAAAAGGCAAAAGACGTTACAATTGTAACCATTCTGTTCGGTGCATTGTAGCTTTAGTAATTGCAGTTGTTACTTTCTACAAAGCAACCCCTAACAATGATTTTAAGGAATTAGAATTTCATCGACTTGGTTTTGTAGCATACAATAAATTTTCCCACCATCTTAACACCTTTTTAACAAAAATATAACCATATTTCTTGAAAAACCTAGCACAGGAATAAATAGACGAAAAGGGCACTCTTGCCAACATGACCGATATATCCTATAAATCATAGAAAACAACTCACACTATGTGCTAGTTTATGAAAATTCACCATTGATTTAATTTTTGTTAACTGAGGATAGATGGGTGTAGATGCAACATAACTCCAACACACACATGTGAAGATGTCTACTATCAAATATTTTCTTATCTTACAGAATTAGACTAGTGGCACACCAACTACCCACATTATATGCCCTAAACTCATATATTCCTGATGCTCCACCTTATGATCAATTCTACGCTGACAGCAACCCATTATGTTCAGCAAGCCAACTCTGTTCTGATCCACCAATCAGCAAATTGACAAAAAGAGAGGAATGGATCAGTCACAGTTACTGCTTCAATGTTTGTGCTAGGTTCATCCTGATCACATTTTAGACAAAACTACATTTGTGGCAACCTTATTTGTTAGGGCCTTATGGACACATCTCAATGATTGTGCAGCTTTCTCAAGGTAATGTCGGCTTTAGTTTTGATATACTCCCACATTCACAGCATCAAATGCTACGAGTTTGTACCCAAAAAATTTATGCAGCTTCATGCACCAGCATTGTTACACCTAATTCACTAAGCTTGGTGCTTTCATATATGTCATCCTCTAACAGTTACTTCTGAAAGGTTTGGCAAGTTTGATCTAATTCTGCGCAAGGCTTCACAATGCAGAAGATATCTATACAAAATAGAGAATAAACACAGCATTGCACAAATATAATAGAGACAAAGAGAACACAATGATTTAACGTGGTTCAGTCAATATCTTGACCTACAACCACAGACAAAGACAACGTAGAGATTCACTAATAAAAAGAGACGATTACAATAAGGAGATCGCTCTCTTTAATCTCACTCAAAACCACCAGCGAAGCGAATCACACTGAAGGAGTCGCTCAATATTTCGTTGTGAGCTCCTCCTGGCTCCTGCTACAGTCGTCTTTGGTATTATATGACGGTTACATGTCTATTTCGTGTTTAGGATCTCTTTAAATCATCAAATATACACTTTCATATTTTCTAAAATTTTCTTTAATTTTTTTTAATATTTATATATATATCTAAATTAGACCGCTATTTGATTTTGCGCTTTTTACTAATATTTTGTAACAAAAACCCCAAATAGCCTTAGCGATGTCTCACGGCTACGCGGCGCTATCCGCTATCAATAACCTTGCATACATATATTATATATTGGAATTTGTAATTTACATGAGAACAAGGATGAGAATTAAAATCCCTGTAACATTTTTATATTTCTTTTATTATTATTGGATTATAAATTGGAAAATCACTGTTTTTGAACTAGACACCCGAATGGCCCTTCGAAATCATAATTTAGAACCAGACCTATGTCCAACAAGTTTCAAGAAGTGGATGTGTAGGATACAAGTCTAGAAAATGTATGACAACCGTTTTAAATTAAAACATACATTGCATAATTGCGTATATGCTTAAATAAATGTATGCATATATTCCAAGAGTGTTCAAGGAGTTTGGGTACGGGTACGTGTCGAGTGAGTTTGTACATAACATAATTTGTCTATGGGATTCCTTCGTTCTTCTTGAAGATCCATTTGCAGCCAGCGACTTTCTATCCCCTAAGAGGTTTCACTATCATGTTTGGTTCTTGTAAAGAGACTTCATCTTTTCAGTCATTGTAATGGTCCAATCTACAGTCTCACTGTCACAAACAGCCTCCTTTTAGACAGAAGACTCTGGGATCTCAATCGATTTTGCTACACTAGGCAATCATGTCTGTATAACCATATTGTTGAGAAGGCTGGTTCTGCCTTTTTTGTTCTCCTGGTGGCAATATTGTATTGTTGTTTTTGAGTGTATCATCATCTAAAGTTAAACCCTCGACAATATCAACTGGTTCAATATGAGCGCCCTTAAACACTCCCTTTGAAGCGGAGTTCTCTAGCTCTACCTGTTTGCTAGACTCCTTTTTGATACCTACAATATCAGCAACAAATTTCTTTCTCTAGTGAAGCATTGATTTCTCATGAAAAGTAACATCTCTACTAATAATAAACTTAGGTGACTTGGGATCAGGACACTATAACCTATATTCCTTCACTTTAGTAGCACATCCAAGAAAGATAGCTTTTTTGCTCTAAGTTCAAGCTTATCATTATTGACATGAAAATAAGCAGGGCAACCAAATACCCTTAAGTCTTAAATAAGAGTAATTAGCAGAGGCACCGGACCATACGTCTATTAAGTCTTAAAATTAATTGTTGTAGAAGGAAATCTATTTACCAAATAGCAAATTATATTGATTGCCTCGGTCCAAAACTCCTTTGCCAAACCAACATTAGAGAGCATGCATTAAGCTCTCTCCAAAAGTATTCTGTTTATTTTTTCTGCACATCCGTTTAGTTGTAGTGTTTGTCGCACTGTACGATGTCGCACACAATGTCACAGAAGGCACTAGGCGGACTAGGTGTTCGAGCCAACGCCTAGATGCCTAGGCGACGCCTAAACGTTTGGCTATTTTTAAAATTATTTAATTATAATAATCAATAAAAATATATATTAAATTCATATAAATTTACAAAAAAGATAGATAGCAATCTTAAATTCTCAATAAACCATGCATACTTAAATACTAAATAGCAAAAATAATAACTAACAATGTTATAGAAAACGCTAGGAAGCCTAGCCGTTGGACCCGACACTTAGAGCTTAGGGGGGTTTTCTTTTTTCTTTTTAGTTACAATAACTGATAGTAAATGTCAATGTTATAGAAAGCTTAGATGCCAGAATGATGTCTAGGCAGATTTTTTTCTTCATTTAAGTGGTGATCGAGAAGATTTTGCTGAAGGTCAGAGAAGATAGTGGATGTGTTCATATTTAGAGGTTAAAGGAGTTTGAAGGAGGTTGGAGGACATGGATGTTGTAACATAGAAAATCACGATCAAAGCCTAAAAAGTGCAGTCCACATAAGCAGACAATGCTCTCCTAAACACTCTCAACCTCGATATCGCCCTGACGCTAAGCGCTAGTTAGGCGGCCTATGTACCGCCTAGGAGGACTAGGCGGATGCTTTTTAAAACAGTGGTCGTACGATACCTTCATTCTTGTAGAAATGGTCAAACTCTATGCAACAGAACTCTATCCCATTATCGGTTCTGATGTGCTTCACTTTCTTCCCTATTTGATTGTCTTTCACTTGGTTTGATGATTCTTATGGTTGCTTAGGTAGTTACCAGCTAAGTCTAAGAATCTTGAATAATTAGAACATAATCAATTGGAAAATAGTATTTATTTTGATTCTTTTATTTAGTTACATATGATATATTTGACTAGAAAAAGATAACAAAACTTAAAACATACAGTTCTAAGTAGTAATGTATTAATAATGTTAAACTCGACTTTGAGTTTTGAATATGAGTTTATTTTGAACTCTCCTCCTAATGTTGCATGTGTAAATTAGGTAAGAGTAGAGCCCACCAAATTTCCACTCTACCCCTATTATTACAATTATCTCATTGTCCACTTCATATAGGGGATAATCCATATAAATAGGGTATGAGGATGAACGCTTCACAATGTACTTCTAGCCAGAGAAAAGAACTGAGTTAGAGAAGAAAAAAGAAAGAAAGAGAAAAATATTGAGCAATTCTTTTTGTGTTATTCCTAGTGAGTTTTTAGGGAGATCAGAGAGTGATCTCCTTATTGTAATTTTCTCTTTTGCTTAGTGAATTCCTCTATTTTCTACGCCTGTGGATGCAGGTCAAGATACTAACCAAACCATGTTAAATTCTTGTGTATTGTTCTGTCTCTACTGTGCTTGTTCAGTGTTGTATTACTCGCTACTTTGTATATACATGATACAAAGTAGTAAATCCCCCCTACAACAAGCTGGTATTAGAGCTTCAGTGTCATTCTAGTGGGCTTCAAGAAGTCTTCGGCTAAATATAAGGTGCAGAAATTTAACAGGAGAAACAACTTTAGTATATAAGGAGTCAAAATGATGACTCTTCTAATGCAACAAGGGTTGCTCAAAATGATGACTCTTTTAGTGCAACAAGGATTGCTCAAATAGTCAAAATGATGACTCTTCGGCTAAATATAAGGTGCAAAAATTTGACGGGAGAAACAACTTTAGTTTATAAGGAGCCAAAATCCATGCTTGATGATGAGAAGAAAGAGCTAGAGATGGAGCATAGTGTAATACAACTCTATTGGCCGATGAGGATCTACGAAAGGTTGCCGACGAAGATATCATTGCCAACCTATTGCCCAAGTTGGGAGTGCTTGTACATGACGAAATCTCTGACCTCAACAAGTTTTACTTGAAGTAATGTCTCTTTACCCTTCGCATGAAGGTACGCGAATTAAAGACCACTTAGATGAAATTTACACTATTCATATATACTAAATAATATTGATGTTAAAATTGAGAAAGAAAATCAATCCCTTATTTTGTTATGTTCATTACCTCCCTCATTTAAAAATTTTGTCAATAGCATGCTCTATGGTTGTTTGGACGATGTTAAATCAGCTTTACATTCAAAAGATTTAATGCGGAAAGTGCCTACAGTGGGAGGTGAGGATCAAACCGAAGGTTAAGTTAGCTTTACATTCAAAAGATTCAATGCAAAAAGTGTCTACAGTGGGAGGTGAGGATCAAGCCGAATGTTTGTTTGTTCATGGTCGACTTGAAAAGGATGTTGATGGTAGAGGCAAATCTAGAAATATGTCTAGATCAAGACAAGGCCAAGAAAAAATGTTTGAGTGTTATAATTGTCAGAAGTTTGGGCATATAAAACCTAATTGTCCAATGCTTAAAGCAAAGGACGGTACTCGGTCGAAGTCTTGGGAGGTGAAACATTTAGTTGCTAGTGATACTAAAAAGTCTTCTAGTTCACATGAAGTTCTTTTGGATGGTGTTTCTAATATTCATTCACAAGATCAGTTCTTGATTCAGGTTGTTCCTATTATATGTGTCCTCATAAAGAGTGGTTTGTTATATATCAGTCAATTGATAGTGGGAATGTCCTGTTAAGACTGATGCTTTATTATTATTTAAAAAATGGTCTAGACGCCCACTTAGGCAGCTGCTTAAATCTAAGTGGTACCTAGGCCGCCCTTGCTCCCACGGGGAGAACGGGCTACTTACACAGACTATACAGAGTTAGAAAGAGGTATATTGCTCGCTTAAGCATAGTAATAGTTGAAGAGAGTTTATCAGGTTAAAATGTATCAGAGATTAAAACTCTTTGCCTAAGTCTATCTCAAGTAAAACAGTAAGGATATGATTTGAATCTTCGAAAACGATCCTTCCTCTCTCGACGTTAAAGGTGATAAGTGTAAGGTCTGACGCCTAGAAACGCCTAGCGCTCTCTAAAACATTGCGCTTTAGCATACTCGTATAGTATGGCATGCTGCAACAGTATTATGATTTACCTCGGTGATCTTACAGATATGTAAGAACAGCCAATACTGAGACATCGTGCATATTGTCGGAACATGATCAAGAAAGTATACTTTGTACAAAAACTTGCAAGTTCAAGCGATCAAGAAAATATACCTTGTACAGAAGATTTGAGTATGTGGCCTTAAGAGATTTGGAACTTTAACAAAGGCCTCAAATGTACCAGGTGCAAGCTGTGCATCACTTGGACCTGAAACAATAGCCATTCATAAGTGAATAAAGAGATATCTGGCTATCTAATATCTTACAAATTAAGTGTCGTCCTTCAAGAAACATCTTATCAATAAGTAATCAGAATGTGCAAATTAGGGATAGAAGAATCCTTTGGAACAAAAATGCTGAAAATGAAGAAAATACTTGTTACACATGCCATGACTCGAGCCATATGACAAAACTCTACATCAGCTATCTTCTTCAACCTGTTCTAGAGGGCTCGGTTTAAACTATTAAAAATAAAAGAATGTGGGAACATGAAAGAAAATGCTAGGATGAGCAAGAATACAACATAAGCATTTCATAATAACTGATTGAGACAATAACTAAGCTTATCAAGAAGTGTAAGTATAGTTTATTATTATTATTATGCATATATTTGGGTAAAGTACCGAAATCATTTAAACTATCACTTTTTCCCCGAAAGTGCCCCTAAACATCAAAGTTCCAAGTACATCCTGAAATTTTGTCTACCAGCTACTTTGTACTCTTAAGTTGTAAAATCAATTTCGGTGAATAAAGAAGGTTATGTTTGAAAAGGCCATTTATAAGGACTGCTACAAATATCTCTTCAACTTCATCCTATGCGTAGATAAAGCTTCCGCCATAAAGTAATTGAATAAAAAAAGTTTAGCTTGGGGGTTCAGTACGGGAACGTCTTTAGACAAGCTACTGTATCTCAGGAGTATCTTCAGTAATTTGAAATAACCAAATAATTCTTTTGGCTATTCCACACTGTTGGAAGATTCTCATTTACACAATAGTTCCCCTGAGCTGACATACTGAACTTTTGGGCACTGGGAAACAAAACAGGAGCAATCAAATTGAATTTATATTTGAAGCACAGCCCAAAATACGAAAAAATTTCCACAAACAATTTGATAAGATTCAAATGACCAATCATCAAATACAACCTGACATCAATTCTCCATCAATAGGTGATAAAGTTACAGCAAAAGAAAGGGTGTGTTATCATTGAAAATATTGAAGGCCACCAAGCAGGCAAGATATTGTATTTATTTATTTATTTATTTATTTATTTATTATTATTATTATTATTATTATTATTATTATTATTGCACCATATAGTTTATTTGACGAAACCATGAAGCACTACCACTTCCCCTTGGTTTCGGATAGACTAAACAAAAAGTTAATGATATAAGAAACTGTATTATGCCTGGGTGAAAATACAACCAAGGATTGACATAGAAGCATTTGGCTGAGTCTGCCACACAAAAAAAAAGAAAAAAACAGTCGAGGATTATTACCACAGTAATAAGTGGTTAAGACGCGTGCATCAGGGGCATATGCCTTTATCTCTCCAGACATGCTGCAAATCTTGCCGTACTGTTCTAGGTTTAATGGCTGAAATTTAGTGAATACGTATTAGGTCATGATAAAGACAAGCCATAATTAAAAATAACAGCTAAGCAATGCATGACTACCATGGATAAATATAGAAAAACAGTAATTGGTGGAAAACTGGAAATAATGACAAGATTGAAACATATACAGAGTTTGTTTGACCGTCTGTGGATTTTTGAAATCTAGCATAAACTTTAAAAAAAAAAGTGTAATGCACTTCAACAAAATAATGTTCCATGCCATGTAGATACCTCATCCCACAAGTAGAAGTAGGCCTTTCGCCAATGAGCCTTAGTCTTCAAGATCTCCACTTCCTTCCGCAAGGACTCTTTTGCTCTGTCACTACTGTCACAGGTCAAACAGCCATCGGCAGCTTATAAATCCTGTGAAAAGTAAAGCCAACTAATCTATATATGCATGTACCACCCATGACTTACCCAGAAAGAATGGGAGTATAAGGCACAGCATATGCTGCCAATCTCGGATTTGAATAATAGTCGTTTGATCTAGGATGGTCCGCTACAGAAACAAGAGGCATATGATAACATAGACAACTTTTAAACAGTATCAAATCATAAAGACGAGATCTAAATAGTGACACACCAATAACCAAACAAAACTATGAACTCGAGATCTAAATGCTAGTGAGAAAATGGCAACCAAAATTCTGAATGGATAAACTATATATGCCTACCAATCTCACTTACCTGGCCAGGGACAAGTATATGCTAAAATCCGCATGTTTTCACCCCACCTACAGAAATATGGACTGATTCTATATTGGAGAAGCCACTTGAAGTGACGGTCTAATGCATCATACCAGGCATCACTTCCATGTGCCACACCAAAACGATCCTCAATCACAGTTTCGGATATCTAGACTATAGTCAGGAATACACATTATTTTCCTACTTTCAAGAAATAAAGCATCAGAGAGGATCCATTCGACATAGAATGATGTAATTTTGTTCATATTCAACAAGCATATGCCATCAGTGTAACAACTGATTATGAATTATTATTATTATTACTACTATTACGATTATTTATTTATTTATTTTTATTTTTTATTTGGAACCCCAAAAAAATCTTAACGACAGATAAGGAGAACCCAATAACCTAGTTTAGAAGTGATGTTGAGGTTAAGAAAGTATTGGGTATCATATGACAATATGGGACGTTGTTAGAAACCAAGTAATATTGAAGGGCTAAAAAAATTGTGTCCAACCTGTCTGATAGATTCCATAAAAGGGATTACAGACATGGAGTTGCTGTTTGATGCTCAGAGCCAGGTCCAAAGATATACAAAGGAAGATCTGGGTAAAATCTGAAAGAAGTTAGATCGCTAAACCTTTGCTAGCATTGCCTGATATATAGCTTCCGTTCATATCATATTAATCTATATCAGCATCAATGCCAGGTCAGCTCAGCCTGGAGCATGGTATTTGCACTAGCATTATACCTCATAAACCTGTAATCTAAAAACATGTCCAGGAAACTGAGAGGAGCCTAGTGCAGGGGTTAAGAGTGCAGTAAAATAGGACGAGGAGATCCACATTATGATTTTTGGAGGGTCGCCTGCTACAGCACACCTGTGTTGAAAAACTAAAATATAAAAATTAAAACATTAATCATTTGATGTACAGTCCAAGGCCAGATAATACGATGAACAATTCAGGTTCAGAGTCATGGGATTGGAAAATCAATATCAAAGTCTGGCTCTAGGGGAAAAAAGAAAGAAGAAACTATGTTCAGACACCAGCTAGTTTGTTTAATGTTAATGTCCATCTCTGCCCCTTGTTCAGACGCTAACTAGCTTGTTTGTTTAGTGTCTTATTAGGGAATATATTAGACTATTCTAATTTATCAAACAGGATAGCTGAATATTTTAAACATTCACTTCGCAAGAATTATTTGAAATGTATTGAACATACCAGGAAAAAACAGAGTAGACTTCTGTAAGGAAAATCTATACACAAATCTCCAACATTGTACAATGCTAAAGTTTGTTTTCGTCTACACACATGCCAAAAACTAGATCTTGATAAAAAGAAATTTGTTGGCCTGAGATGAATTTCCGGCATAAATAACATGCCTGAATTTCCTGCATAAATAACATGTCTTGAAAAACTGTTGCTATCAGTCAATTAAGATTAGAACCCACAATAGTATTATTAGAAATTGAGCAATGTCCAACACATATTAGATTTGAAAAAGAACCTCATTTCTTTAGGCACCATCAACTCCAATGGTTTTAGGTCTTCGGCTGAAGGTGGAGTTTTGAGAGTTAGTAAAGGCTCTCTTGTTGTGATGAAAGGAAAGAAGGTAATCTTCTATATCCTTGAAGATAATACTGTGACAGGTTCTGCAACAGTGTTATCCTAAAGGATTCAAATTCAGACGCTACACATTTGCGGTACATGCCCTTAGGGCTTAGGGCATGTGAGTGAGAGAGGACTGGATGTATTGAGCAAAAAAGTTTTGCTTTGTGATCAAAGAACTAGCAACTTAGACTTTTGTAAGCATTGAGTTTCCAACAAACACCATTCTTTAGTACAGCTGTCCATAAAACCATGGTACTTTAGATTACATTCCTTCAAATGTTTGTGGTCCCTCTTAGGTTCTATAGAAAGGTGGAGTTTGTTTTCCGATAACATTGATTGATTATTCCAGACAAGTTTGGGTGTATTTTTTTGAAGCATATAACCGATGTGTTTACAACCTACAAGCAATGAAATGTTATGATTGAGATGGAAAGCAAGTGGAAACCAATCTACCAATATGACATCAAACATATATAAAACTGAAGAAACAGAAAATAATACATTGCATATATAAAACTGAAGAAACAGAAAATAATACATTGCATAGCCTATTGCAAGCAATTATGCAAAAGATTTTAACATTTGAAGGATACACCAAATACAGCTGGAAGGGAAGGTGTCAATGGAAGAGTGAAATCCCATACTGTAACACTTATTTTCACATGGATAGAGACGTTGGTTAAAGTATCTTCATCCATCATATCTCCTGTGTCTTTATCTTGAACATACTCCTGGAATGTTGGGAATAAAAGAACTCTCTTCAAAGCTGATGCTGCAGATTTCACTCTTTCTACCTAGTATAATAAAGACCAAGTGTTAATAGCAGTTTAATGATATGTATTAAATTAATGAGTACCCATTCCTGGAGAAGCTTACCACGTCCTCCAACTCCTTTCCATCTGCGGGTTCAACAATATCAAGGCAGTTCTTAAGCTCTCTATACAATTGATATTTCTCAACATTGCCAAGAGAATTTGCTGAAGTCCCGCTGATTGACATAACAAACCATAATAGTTACCCAGTCAACACAGAAAATAATGGCAATATATATATTGATCAAAATATATCTAGTTTAAGATATAACATGAAACCATTACTCTGTATTTGTATTGGCAGCAGTTATGAGAAACTCTCCCTCATATTGACCAGGCGGTTGTTCAGCTGGGATATCAACAGATACCCATATTGACGTTGTTTCTCTGCAGAAATAACAATGAATATGTTACTTAAGGAAAGAAAAGATAACCGAAAATAATGTCACCTGGTTGTCAATATCTAAAAAGTTTTTATGATCTATTTAATAAGCAGTACCCAGGAAGAAGATTTATTTGATTGACTGGTAGATCAAGAGGTACAAGAGCATCAGGCACACCTAAGATAGGAATCACTCGTCGCAAAGTTAAGGCCTGTCCAGCAATCAGCCTACCACAATCATAATCAGTTATTAAGATAAAGATTTATTTTCTATGCAGATGAACAGTGAACAAGAGGCTTAACCTATCGCCAGATGAGGAGCAGAGATCTGTACAATGGATCTGCGCTGTCCCTGCAATGCCCGAACTACCCCAAGAAACTTTAGGACGTAAAGCAATTTGCACACTTTCCCTCTCATTTCTTGCAGCCAACAGAGATATCTTGAATGTAGAACAGATTATCAGAAGATTAAAAAAAATGATACATAGAGGTAAAGAGAAAGGGGGGAAGTAACAAGCAATATATGATTTAAACAATGTTAACACAGTTGAACACTACAATGAAGACTCAACCGTTTGCTGATGATGAAAAAAAAAACATTTGATTTTAGTAAATTCTAATTTTCTCATTATGTCATGCTGGAGAAATAGACAAATATTGCATGATTCCTCCACTCTAATTTACATCCATGAACGTAGGCTAGACAACCGTATGAAATCAAATCATGCAAAACCAAATATCCTTGTAAATAGCAGATCTTTTTGCATTAACATATTCAAACCGAAGCAGTAAACATGTAGGACTCATGCAAGATGATAAACCAATATTCTCATCTCCAAACAGGCGAACGACTGTTTTCTCACATCTCGGAATAACAGTTCTCCGATAGCAGATAGAAGATATTGAATAGAACATCAACAGAGAGGGCTTACATTCTCTAATGGCCGAGGCACTTCTTGATGTCCAACATTTGCTGTGCTTGGCATGCACCACACATGTAACAAATCTGCTGTTGGAACCTTTCTAGGATCAACGTCTCCAACGAATGAAACCGAGTCTTGCAAAACACCATCATTCCAACCATAACCAGTCCCTCCTCCAGCAACACCTTCAACTGGGGGAACAGTGATATTCTGAGGGTTCCCTCCTGTAGTTTGTCAATAAGAACATACGGATAAAACATTTACACAAATGCACATTGGAAGACGTGCAAAATTAAGAACTATGATAATGTAATAAAACATATCTTGAAACATTAAGCAAAAGAAAAGGCAACCATTCAACAAAAAATAAAATACATCATAACAATTCTAATAGAGCAAGCCCAAAGTTCATAATTAACATCAATAAATTGAGCCTCAAAACACCCAAATAATTCTAATAAGGAAAAGTTAGATGTTTAACAGAATTATGGAAATTCATTTAAACAGCAGAATGACTAAAGTAGTCATTTATCTTCCTCCATTTCTTAACCAGGAAAACACCACTGATCTAGTCACTCAATCTTAACCAGGTCTCCATGGGGGTTTAGTGAATCGAGTAGTACTATGTCTGACATAATTTTTCTACAGCCTGTCTAGCGTCCTCACCAGACAAACACTGCACAAGGTGGTTTATGATCCTAGTAGTAGCCCCATAAATTCTGCAGGTGGTCCATAGATTCAAGAGGATCTCCACCACATAAGTTTGAAGTGAATACTTCATCCATGTTCCACTTAGTTCCACAATCTCACCATTAGGGTTAGCTTTGAATTTGATAGAATTTGAGATGCTCTGAGTGAAAAACTTTGGACATTAAGCCTTCCTGGTCCTATTCCTGCTCATGTTTAACAACAAAGCTTTACATGGTTAGTTCCTCAAAAATGGCAGATAATGCTTATTCTTGAGTTCATTGCATCTGTTATGTGCTAGATACTCCTCGTGCATACTCCGAGAGGGACAATCCATTCCCACTTTTCATTATAAAATTGGAAGCATTTTTGTTTTATTTGATGTTCTTCCTTCCCTTCTATAATTTTATATGCATTCACAAATAACTGTGCTCTTATTAGCGTACATGTCTCTTTTATGTATGTGTGAACTCATTAGTTGGCTAAACATGAAATAGTCAAGACCATGATTAACAAGTTGTAGGCAGAAACATATCAATCGTTAACACTGGAGACAATACCTCAAAATCAGACTCAATATAAGAAAAAATAAAAAAGAAGACATGCAACATTTAATTTATGCCCTTAGAGAAGAAACTAAACTTATCCTACCAGAATATTTGTAGTTTCTCTAGCTAATAACTGTTGATTTCAGCAGTTAATTGATCCGCAAGGACACCGTTCCGATTAACATGGTGATTCGCTTGGTACACGGAAAACATCGATACATGCAAATATTACATAGATTGCAAGGAATGCTGAGAAAATTTGCTTCAACAGCAATATTTCTTATCACAAACTAAAGACATACTCTTCTATGACCTAGATTCCCTCGTAGCCACCTATGACAAGAACCACCAGTCATGTTTCCAAGTTTCCCACACAATATCTATCACCAGCTTCCTTTCCACAAATCAATATGGCAACCAGTCATCGACTTATCATCATTCTTTCGTGGCTCATCTAAAAGAAAACGCAACCATTTCATAACAATTATACTGAAGCCTTGTCCTCAACATATTCTGAAGATGTTGATCAACATAACATATGCAGACATCACAACGATTGAGAAAAAAAGAGGGGAAAACAATATTCAGAAGAAAAAAAAAGTAGCATGTGTTCTCCAATATCATCTTACATACAGTTTATCTAGACAATCTAAAATGCATTCCCAAATGGCCAAAGTTTGGGTTACATTCCACCATGTTTCACCCACTAAGATCATCGCCGATATCTTAAAAGTCCCATTCACACCTACTTTCTAATATGCATTAGAGATGACTACACTCACAAAATTGCTCTTTCAAATTTTCTTCTCTCCTTCATTTCTTGTCCACAATTTTGCAGAGTTAGATTTTCCCCATACAATTCCCGTAAATTGAAAGGGAATAATCACTATAACGCAAAGGTTAAACAGAAGATATAGCATCCATTCTCGTCAAACTACATCAGTCCATTTATTCTCTTAAATTATGTAAAGAGTAATCAAGTTATCCGCTAATGAGACAAATTAAATAACTTCAGTAATGAGAGAGATTCATAATATTCGCATTTCAATTTTGAAATAAAAATTAACATTTGTAATATGAACTGAAATTTTACTCCCAAACTGGAGGTACTGCGAAGGAACTGAGCTCTATGAATCGACTTAAATCAATAAAATTTAATTGAGACGAGACGAAATTGAGCGGATTTAGAAACCCTAGAATGAGCGTAAAACCCTAGAACTCACCGGCGTTCTCCATCTTCGGATCAGGCGATCGAGAATGAAGTAATCTCGGACACCGGTTTGGGTGCTGAATCGCCGGAATTATATACGGCGTGAATCGTTGTGCCGCCGGCACAGTTGGGGCTAACGTGACACACCAATCACCGCGCAGTTACGTGTTCTCCTGGATGTGATTTCGTTTTCTGACAAGCATGCTGGCTACGGTTAAAACTTAGGGCCCGTTCGTTTGCCTAAAAAAAAGAGGGGAATCAAAGAAATGGAAAACTATTAAAATGAAGAATTGTTTTTGGAGTGTTTGGTTGGCTAAAAAAGAAGGAAATCAAAGAAATAAAATTAAAATGATGTTAGTTGTCACCTTATTATTGGATGATGTTTGTGAATTTTTAAGAAAACTAGTTTTGGAGTGTTCGGTTGGCGAAAAAAATAAGGAAATGAATTATAAGAAACATATTTCCTGTAGTTTCTTATTTTCTTTTGTTCGGTTCATTCTTAAAAATAAGAAATGAAATGAGATGAGATGAGTTGTCATTGTATTATTAGGTGATGTGGAGAAAGATTAAGAAAAGTGTTTTCATAACTTTTTGGGATGAAAATGAAGAAATGAAATGTTAATGAGATGAGGTGAATTGTTATAAAATTTTACTGGATGATGTGAGTGATTTGAAATGATGAGAAGAGATGAGTTGAGTGATGTTTGGATGAAAATAATATTTTATTAGATGTGATGGATGAGTTGTTAGATGAAAATAATATTTTATTAGATGTGATGGATGAGTGGCTAGATGAAAATCATATTTTATTAGATGATGTGGATGAGTTGTTGGATGGAAATAATATTTTATTGGATGTTGTGGGTGAGTTTTAGGGATGGAAATGGAGGAAATTGTGAGTTTTGATATTTTCACCATTTCCATTTCCATTTCTTGGTTTTTAGAAAACAAACGAACAGGCCCTTAAAAGCATCCTGGGTGTTTGTAGAAAGGCCCTCACTAATTTTGAATTTACAAGACTAATCCAAGTTTTTTTTTGCAAGCTTTTGCTTTTAGAACATCAAAATATTTTTTTTTTGGTTCGACGAGGGAACTTCCGTACGATCTTTCGGAGTATGAGTATCAAACCAGCTAGAGTGGCTAAGGGGGCGCCCCCCAACGTACAGTGTCAGGTGTTTTGAGAAATTAAATTTCTAGGAGTGCTCTCTAGGAAATTCGAACCTAAAACCTTGGGAGTATTACTCATAGACAGTTTACCAGCTCGGCTAGATCCTCTTAGGTAGAAACATCAAAATATAAAGATAGTGTAGTAGTGCTGGCTCTCTGGTAAAAAGTTTCATAATCAAGTTCTGCCAGTGAAAGGCCCAAAGCAGTGCTTTGTTTCCTGGCCAAATCAAGGATTTGGGGCTTCTTGCTATATATAGCAATATATGAATCGAAAGAGATTATGTTTTAAATAAAAGTAGAAAATTATAAATAAATATACAGTGTAATTTTCACTTGATCCACATCTAGAAAATGTAAGGTAGAGAGCTATATATACCACTAACTTTGAATAATCAATGGAAAACTGTGCCTAGGCCCTAAACATTGAAACCTATTGTGACTAAGCCTGTGGTATTTTCCCATGTGTAAAAGCCCTAAAAACGACATTTTTGTGTTTCATCCCTTGTACGTTGTCAACTCAGCAGTGAGAGATAAAAGCCTAAAAATATTCCAAAAATACCCCTCCCCTTTAATGTAGTCTATCTATCTCTTCCTCTCTCACCCCTCCAATAGGCAAGGTCCGATCTTACCTCTGCCACTGCCGTACCCAATGTAGATAACAAATACCACATTGCCATCGAACCTTTCCTTCCACTTCGGCACCACCGACCTCGAGCGCGTTCTCATTCAACCCCAACGGCAACGCAAGACCGCCCTCGCTTGAACTCATCGCCATCTCACTCTTCCATTGACCACCTCCTCTCCTCCTCTAATGACAAAAACTTCTGAGAAAGATATCAAATTTTCTTTTCTATGGATGTTTTCCTCACCTAGATATTTATTCTTATAGAAAACAAATTTCTCTTTTTTCCCTAGAATAGTGTAGAATAAAACCCTCTTTTTGTTGGTTTTGATTATATACAGAAAAGAAAAAGGATTCATTAAACCTACATGGTGATTGTTTATTTTTGTGATATGGGTTGCTTTTCATTTTCTCTCTCTGTTATTATTATTATTATTATTATTATTATTTGGTCTTCTCACAAGGTATCCCCACACCATATTATGGATGAGACTAATCCTCGCTTGCACTTCGTGGTTGACATTGGCCCGAGGTTTTTTTTCATGTTGGGAATTCAAACACGAGACTACCCTGCTATGGATCGTCACCCAACAGAAACGCAGTGGGGGCCTTACATTTCTGTCTCTTTATTAGTTTCATGGAAAAAGTTGAATATGGCCTTTCTCTTAGCTTTGGTAGTTATTCTTTTTTTTCTTTTCTTTTCATTCTCAATAAATTTTTAGACTGTAATTTGTTCTTGTTTTTTAATATCACCTACTTTCTTTACTATATTAATTTAGGCAAAACAGTTTAGTTTTGTTTGTTGCTACCTAGTCCCTAGTTTTTTCTCAATTCTATGAAGAAAGCTTTCGAGAAGTGGCGAATTTGAGTTCGATAATCCCTTTTTTGATGTGGGATTCTCTTTGTATGTCATTCACAACTGTTAAATTTATAAGTACATGTTAATTTTGAATATCAATTGTTAAGTTTATTCATCAATTCTTAACTTTAGTTAAGTTTCAGTGCTACGTGTCAAGTTTATTGGATAATTATTACTATAAACTTTTAAATCGTTAAATCTAACTTTGCATAGGTTGATTATGAACTATAAGGGATTAGTTGTGAAAATTACCTAACTGATGTTTAACTAGAATTGTTGCATGTTAAGTCTATAGGATAACCGTAAAGTTTACACAATGGATGTTAATTTTAAATATTGAGTGTTAAGTTTAACTTTAGAGTGCAACTCTTAATTTTATAGATCATATGTTACAAATGATAGGTTATTCTTTTTAATCTTATGTGTTAAAAGTTTACATGTCTATGTTTTAAAAGTAATTTCTAATTTATATATTCAACATCTAACTCTTATACTTGATAGCTAAGTAGTATAATTAACATATATATTTTTATACATTATTAGTTATAGTATTTAGAGATCATTATTACATATAATCATCTACCCTTTAGAAGAGGGAGTTCATGAAAAAAATTTCCTTCCCCAATTTACCATTCAACCATTTAAAATATACCAAAGTTATCCCTTATAATAGTTACAAAGCTTTCATTATCGTCGTCGGAAATCAAAAGCCCTATTTCCGTTGGTTTACGCCTCCTGTCCTCCAACAAGTTCATCGGTTACCCTTCTCCTCAGCCCATCTCCTCAGTTCATCGGTTACGTCGTCCCATGATCTTAAAGATGAGTATTATTACCCTAATCATCAACGCCACGCCTCCGCCATCATTTCCTCAGTTCTCAGAATTTTGGCATCGGTTAGGATCAGGAAGGAATTACATTGAAGAAGGTATTTCTAAATTTATTTATGCTCAATTCACCCTCTCCCTTTTTTGTTCTTCATTCCTCTCTGCTTCTCTTCCCGTCCATTATATTTTCGGCCCCCTCCTCTCACCCCCATCCCTTCATCAGTTTCTAATCAACTCTCCTTTCTTTCCCCTGCAACCCTATTTGCCATATCGATGGGGTTCTCATAAATTGTCTGAATTTTTCTCAGTATTTATTTAATTGCAGACCTTCATTTGGGATTGATTTCGATATCGATGAGGTGATTCTTCGAGGCCAAACGCCAATTGGAGGTTCTCCTCAAGCTTTGAAAAGGCTCTATCATGGTAATAGTACTTCATTAGGGTTCTCATGCTTTATGTTTTTGAAGTGGAATTCAGTTAGAAATTTATCCTTTTTAGGGTTTCTATTTGCATTGCAGGTACCTTGAGGATTTCATTTCTGTTCTTAACCAATAGTGAGATTTCCACTCTGATTGGTTTTTATTTTTAAGCTTGCAATTGCACTATTTGAGTCATTATGTTTTACTAGGATGCATTTTAGTTGGATAATTTAGTTGATAATAGTCAATATATGTGTATACATGTTCCATGTTTTGGTTCTAGGCCTTTTTAGATATTTGAATACTGCTTAATCTCCCGAAAATGTGGCACATATGCTATCTTCTCCATATTGCATGAGTTCCCTTTTGTGATGGAAGTGAAAGACATCATAATTTATTGAAAAGTTTTAAGAGAGAACCCCGGAAATGGAGGAATCATGAAAAAGATTAGAAAATCTAAACGAGAATTTTGTATGATTAATAAATGAAAAGCTAAGTTCGTAAAATTTTACGCCTTCATCTAACACATTGTATCATAGCCAACGCCACCTCTTTTTGTTGTGAGTGAGCAACGTAAATGTTGACGAGACATTGCAGTGTTCGTCCAGGTCTATGTAGAAGTTGACAGGCATGAGAATACAAGCCTAAACTACCAAGAAAAAAATTTACTTGAGCTTTACAGTTTTTGCACTTTGAAATATGGTTTCAATTTGGCATTATTTTCATTTAGATAGTAACTTTGGCAGAATTACCATATAGTTATGTTTTGTTGACCCTATGTGTCAGATTGGCATATTTTCTAACTCCGGTGATGATATAGTATATTTTGTGGACCACAGTGACAAATGCCAGGCCGGAGAAAAAATTCCGGCCAAAGACGGTCATGTGCGGTGTTCCATCTCCAATTTCAGTTGCCATAACCAAATTAACCCTAGGAGGAAAAAGAATATCCCCAATTTGAGCCCTAACTTTTTTAAGACCTAATTTGAGCAGACACACGGATGCACGCGACTTTGTTTTATCGAAGTTTTGGCTTTGGCCAAAAAACAAGGGTATTTGTCATCGTGGTTCACAAAATATACCATATCATTACCAGAGTAAGAAAATATATCAATCTGTCACATAGGGTCAACAAAATATATTAATATGCTAATTTTTCTTAGTAACTTTCTGGAAATAGTTTTTTTCTGTATGGTTGATGTTGGAAAACGGATTCTTAATCTATTTTGGTAACATAAGGTTATTAAGATTCCTATTCTATTTTGGTAACATGAGGTTATTAGGATTCCT